TTTACAGAGTACTAACATTGCTCGATATTATTCATTGACGTGTGATGAGACAATTCATAAAATAAGATATAAAAATAATTAATACACACCTGACAAGGTGTTATTAATATTAATATTCAGAGAGTTCTAAATTAAAATGAGAAGTTATTTCGGGGCTATTAGCTTGACTATGATGAAAAAGACAGATAATATCTTGGTGCTATGGAGGGTGTGGTGAAATGGGCACTCTTGTGCTTTGTTAGTAGGAGTATGAATTGGTACAACCAACCTTCCTCAAGGTCAGTTTGGCAATACCCATAAAAAATGTCTGACATCATCTTTGGCTCAGCAATCTCATACTTTTTAACTTGTGTCTTAAGGAAATTAAGTCAGATACAGACACAAAAATGATTGTTCGTGTATGTTCACTGTGGTGGTGTTTATAATGACAAAGCAATTGGAAACCACCAAAAGGCCTACCAGTAGAGAAATGCTTCAATAAATGATGGTACAGCTAGACACTGGAACTCTACACAGCTGTTCAGAATGGTTAGACAGATCTAGGCTGGCCCCTATGGCCTTGTGGTTAAGGGAGTTGGATACCACGTGGCCAACAGTGCTGTTTGAATCCCACCTTAGGGGCTTGAAAAACACTCCTTGTGCCTTTGTGTGCATGCTTACTCAAATCTTGACAGGTCAGCAAAATGGAGAAAGGATTGCGACATGACCACACCATATTGGATGGTGCTTTCTCTCTCTCCCTGTCTCACTGTCTCTCTCTCTGGCAAGCTCAGGTGCTCTCTGGCAGATAAAAATAAATAATTTAAAGAAAAGAAAAAGGAATAAAAACAAAAAAGAAAACAGAGGTCTATCTCTGTTGGCATAGAAAGATGTCAATATTCTGTTATTGAATGATACCATTTTAAAAAAAGTATATGCATAGGGGCAAAAACCTAACTCTTACATCTTTATTGAAGTATGATTTATGTACCATAAAATTTATCTTTCTAAGTGTATAGGCTAATGATTTTTAGTAATTTTATGTTGTTGTGCAACCATCACCACAATCTAGTTTTAGAAATTTTAAGAGAGATTTTTGCTATATGGCGCATGTGCTTGCCAGAGAGACAGAGAGACAGAAAGGGAGAAATCACCCCCCAGGGGGGATGGCCACCCTGCAATCCCTTCTCCTCCATTTTCCTTTTGGGATCTTGGGCACGCACACACACGTACCTGGTGTGAGTTTCAAACTTCCAGGTCCAGAACTCAAACCCCAGTTGGCTACATGGGAGCCAGTGACATAACCATTACGCATCTGTTGGCCCTTATAACTTTTTTATTATCCCCCCAAGTAGGCTTAACTTTCAAAATGTTTGCCATGTCATTATTTTATTAAAAGGAAAAGCTTCCAAAAGATGCTTATTTTTTTTCCTCATAATACATGAAAATAATCTATGAGAATATTTCTTTTACTAGTGTCCGAACTTTATCTCTGCTTTGCTAGTGACTTTAAAAACTGCCCTTTGGGAACCAGCAGTTAGCGTAATGGCTATGTCGCTGGACTCCTACGTAGTCGGCCACGGTTCGCGTCCCGGACCCGGTGGCTTAAAACTCACGCCAGGCGCCTGTGCGTGTGTGCCCAAGATCCTGAGAAGAGAATGGAGGAGAAGGGATTGCAGCGTGACCATCCCCTCTGGGGGGGTGATTTCTCGCTTTCTGTCTCTCTGTCTCTCTCTATCTGGCGAGTGCATGTACCCTATAGCAAAATCCTCTCCAAAAAAAAAAAAAAATAGCGTAATAAAAACTGCCCTTTAGGGTCAGCGGATGGCATGGTGGTCAAGGTGCCGGATTGCCACATGGCTGACTGAGTCCTGGACCTGGTGGCTTGAAAATCATAAGAAATAAATAGATAAATAAATAAACAAGTGTTAAAAAAAGCACTGTATTGAAATATAACTGACATACAAAAAGCTATTCATGTTTAATATATGCAACTTGATGAGTTTGGAGCTAAGTATATATTAATGAAACCACCATTACAGTCTATGCCATAAACATATCCATCGGCACAGGCCTAATTTTTAACAGTGCTTAGGTTGAATATGAATTTGAATAGGAGAAAGGTGTATGTGGGTGCTACAGTTTCCCACTTAATCGTTTTGTATTATTTGAATTATTTACAATAAAAATATACTATCTTTTAATTTGAGAAAACAGGAAAGGCTTTTCTATTTTGAAAAGAACAAAAAAAGGAAACAGACATATACCCCTTTGACCCAAATGTACTTGCTGGTAGCCTATTATTATTATTAGTTTTTGGAGAGGTTTTTGCGACAGGGCTCATGCACTCGCCAGAAAAACAGAGAGAGACAGAGAGTCAGAAAGCGAGAAATCACACCCCCCCGGGGGGGGGGATGGCCATGCCGCAATCCCTTCTCCTCCATTCTCCTCTCAGGATCTTGGGCACGCACGCACACATGCCTGGCGTGAGTTTAAGCCACCAGGTCCAGGACTCAAACAACAGTCGATTACATGGGAGTCCAACGACATAGCCATCATGCCAACTGCAGGTCCCCTGGTAACTTTCCTTGAGGAAATAATTTAATATGTGGAAAGGATTTGTTGGGGGAAAATTGTAAATTATATATTTTATGGTAGAAGAGAAAAATAATCATTAGGGAATATGAAAAGTGCAGAATGTCAACCTTTACATGTAGTACAATCTCATTTATGTGAAATAAGTTAACACAGCTAAAAACGCTGCTTGGAAATATAATAAAATTTTTCCAATGGTTATGTTTGGATAGTGAGATTACTACTTTTTACTCATATTTTATTCTTTGTATATTTCTTCATTTTCTCCATACCTGATATTAATATAAAACAGATCAATTATGGCATTCTTTTCCTTTTTTGAGAGGTTTTTTCTTTTTTCTTTTCTTTTCTTTTATTTTTATTTTTATTTTTTTTGCTATAGGGCAAGTGAGCTCACCAGAGGGACAGAAAGTGAGAAATCATCCCCTAGGTGGGATGGCCATGCAGCAGTCCCTTCTCCCTGCTCCTCGCCACACACACACACACACACACACACACACACACACACACAAGACCATTGTCTTTGAAGCCACCAGGTCTGGGACTAGAAACCACAGTTGCCTATATAGGAGTCCAGCAACGTGACCATTACCCCACTTTCTGGCCCCATTTATGATGTTATTTCTACACGTGTCTACATTTGTGAAAACAAAAGTGCACACATTAAATACGTGCAGTTACTATATGCCAATTATACCTTAATAAACTTCAAAAAATAGAGCTTGAAGAACCAAATCATCTTAAGCCTCTTATTGGAAAAGGGGTCTTGTTATACCATTTGGGGCTGGAAAGTGAAATGCATGGGGAGGTGGACATATTATGTTAATAATAACATGATCTCTCTATAGATATTTTCATTCATTTACTCATTCATTCAACAGATCTGCCTTTCTGTAATATTCCAGGAATGTCACTGAGTACTTAGATACCACGATGAAGGCCAAGCCACTGCCCCTAAAGAGCTCCCGTCTGTGGGGCAGGAGTAGGTCACCATGTAACAGACTCCAGCCAAGAGCCCCCTCCACCACCACCACCACCCCTGCAGTGCTGCCCAAGAAGGACCTTGGGGAATCAGGAAGATAGATCCTCTGTTCAGGTGGAGTCAGGAAGGGTGGCACCAGGTTTGCAGTTGAGGAGGTGGCCAGGAAAAATTCGGCTATCCTCCAGGGAGTGTCGCAGTCACTGGAGAAATGGGCTTTAGCACCTTTCACACACCCATGCCTATCTGACCTACGCACTTACAACAGTGCTCAGGGCTTGCATCCGTCGCCTCATTTACTCCAGGCCACAACCTTCAGTAGGCACTGTTAGGATCTTCATGTCACACTGAGGAAACTGAGGTGACCTGCCCAAGGTCACAGAGCCCTGGCCTGCTCCAAAGCTGGATCATCAGCCACACATACTCCTCTGCCATTGTACTGGGGCTCATGTTAAGTCCCTGACCCGGACAGCTCAGCTTTCGCTATTCACAATTTCCCCAAATCCCAACGTCCGTTAGCACAACCAATAGGGTCATGCCCAGCAAAGGGGTGGACTGAGGAGGATTTGGGGTTTGGAGGGCAAGCAGGGAAGACGCGTCAGGAGTCGAAGAGTGTAATCCCCCCACCCACGTACAGCGCGCTGGGCGCTGGGGACCCGGGGGTCCGCCAGC